TAGAAGGACTTATAGAGGTGAACCAATAACCATATCTGGAAGCGTTCGGTCACGTAAGAGGTAAGGGAAGCTTATTTAATTTAATTTTATTCTTTCTTGGAATGATGGCATGTTTGTGTGAATATTGGATGAATATGAAGTATGATTGTTACTATGTTTTGGCGGTATGAATGTATGAAGATAAATGATGAGGAATGTATTAATAAGAGTATGAATTCTAAGTCTGTATTTCTATGTGAAAATTTATGTTCGTCACTGAAGGTGATTGACCGTTCGGTTTTCTTATGGACTCGGTTGTAACTGAATTCTTTCATTTAGAAAGAATTTTAGTTGAGGACAAATGTCTTCGTTTTGTAATATTTGTACATGAGCGTTTGACCAAGGGTAGTCGTTCCTTGGTATTCGGTTGTAAACTTAAGTATATCTATATGTATTTGTATATTTCGTTCGTTCTTGAAAACTATTTAAATGGTATCTTATTATATTATCAAGCCTTTCTTCTATAAGTTTAGTAGTGCTCGGTCTTACACCAAGTGCTCGTACTAAGTGGTGCTCAGTCTTAAACCAAGCGCTCGACCTTGATTCTTTAATTTAATTTTTAAATAAGAGCATTCGGCCAAAACCAATAGCGTTCGGTCTCTACAGTGCTCGGTCTTCGACTAACACTTGTTCTCCTTTATGTTAAACTCATAAATAAGTTAAGTATTTATAGTGTTCGGTTTCTTCATATAATTCCGTCACTTATTATTACTAGTTGTCCTACAGTATCAGTTTCTATGGTGTTCGACCTAGAGTCTTAGTACTCGGCCTAGGCTTATTGGCGTTCGGTCTAAACTCTCATGAGTCAGTTCATTAAATTGGCTCACCTTGTAAATAACGTTCGATTCTATTATTCTCTGGGAAGTATCATTGTATTCGATCCCTTTCACAACTCGTGAGTAACCCTCTCAATTTGATTATGTTTTGAGTTGGGGACATCTCGGTCTCACTCCAAGTGTTCGGTCTTGTTCTGGATTAAAAACTAACGTTCGATATTTGGTATCTTTATTCAAATTGGTTCAGTAGAGGTTTTAATAATGAAAGATGATGGAATATGATATGGATGAAATGACTTTGATTATGAACGAGTATTCCGGGGAGGAATATCTCATGAATGTATATTAGAATTGGTAAAGTATGAATGTGGGCATGCTAAGCTGGCGGTTCATCCTGATATTCCGTGATTACTCTTCTCACGTAGAGAAGGGTAAGTCATGTGTGGGAATGACAGGAGGTCCTAGTCCTTATGGTTAATTTGGACGGAACGGACTAACCTCGGGTGGCAGCTGTTGAGGGTATCCTAGTTACTACATCACCCGGGTGCACGAACGTCGTAACTATACAAAAATTCATACAGCCCGGACAGTCAGAGTCTAGTATTAGGCTTTGCATGAAAGAGTTAATGAGTTATCTTGTTTAAATTGATTGAGTGAAATATATGTTGATAATTGAATTAAATTACATAAGCTTACCCTATTTCCTGTCTTGTTCATTTTGTGCATTCGGTGGTTGTCCTTCTGTTGCAATGATCATCCGTGTGGATGTGAGCAGAAGGAGAAGAGTTGTTGGAAGAAGTATTGGAAGATGCGACGGAAGTGAAGACTGAACCTTAAAGATGTTCGGTTTGTTATTAGTTTACCTTTGGTAAGACCGTTCGGGATAAGTTATTTTGTACACCGTTCAGTCTAGTAGTAGCTAGCGTACGTTGTTAAATCCCTTGTTATTTATGTAAGGCCGTTCGGCCAAAATTGTATCTCGTTCTGGGTAGAACTGATCTGTAGTATTATTAACATGTGATGACTCTCGTATATGGTTTTACACTGTATTTTTGGGATGTTACAATCTATATGTTGTAAAAAATTTCAGATAGTATTATTCTCAAGTTGTCATTAAATAATGATTGTGGTTTTCTCTGAACTTGAAAATTCCATTTATATTTTGTGTATCCTTATGTTAATCTTATCTCTATCTAAGTAGGGTGATTTTATAGAGTAATGACGATAATGTTCTTTATCAGTGATGCAATTTTTCAAACAATTACGAATAGAAAAATGTGAAGAACATTTTTTTTTAACTTTTACATGGATTTGACAATTTACTAAGGATATAAAAGGAATATAACAAAGGATCCAAAATGGACTTTTGATTGAAAATAAATCACACAAATATAAAGAAAAACAAAAGAAAAGAGGATTGAATTTTCAAAAATCATTTCCATGAATGTATTATGTTGACAAAACGTAATAAATCTCTCACACACTTAAATCTTTGAAAGAAACTTGATGTGGTTTGAAAATATTTGGGTCAATGAGAGACAATTCCTCTTGACAAAGTATTATATGATTTTTTTTCTCTCTGCTAGAGGATATGGGAAGGATGTTAGTTAGAAGGCAGAATTTGTTTTTTGGTATTTTTTTTTGTTTTTGTTTGGAAAAAAAACTTTTTATTGGCATTTATGAAATTCACGAAAACTTAAATTTATATACATTGTTTTCCTTAGAATATTAGTGATTATGGATAGACAAACGTAAAAAACATTTATATTAAAAAAAATTATATGGATTTGATCAAATTTATCAAAGAGATATATATGTAAAGAAGATAATACAGGAATCAAAAGAAACTTTTGATTGAAAACAAATTAGAAAAAGAAAATGATTATTGACTTGTGTTTTATTTTCATTCTCAAAATTTTTGTAAATATCATTTGATGACTTATCTTAAATGATGTTTTTTATGTGACAAGCTATATCACTCATTAAATTTTGGGTTTGATGAAAATAGACACAAATTTATAACTTTGATTGATTAATTTACTACTTTTTAACGTGGACTTTTCCTTAGCATCATTAAACATAAGAGAGTGATACATGGGAGGTGAAGACTACTTTTATGCAATTATTTTAGGTTATATCATTTACTTATGCATGGCTGAATAATCTCTATATAGAGGTTTGATGGAGTAGTTTTAATTATATGTTTCATTTTTGGTTAATGTGAAATTATTTCAAATGTTTATTATACTTTCATTAAGCAATTTCATACTTAGAAAAGGGATTGTTGGTAATCCCTCATTCCTCTAATTACATAATAGCACTACAAAAATAATGTATTATAGGGGAGGTTTATTTCCGGCGGTTTTGATAATCTCCGGTAATTTTCGGCGATTTCTTCCAAAACTGCCCAAAATTATTAAAAAAAATTCCTGCAACAGGTTTCTCTCTATTTCTTCTTCGTTATTTTCCATTTCCCTCCTCTTCACTCTGTCTTAACAGTTTATTGGAATTTTTTAGTTACTCTTATGCAAATCCATAACTCCTAATCTTGAAGGCAGTCCAAATGAAAATCGTGCTTATTTGGCTCTTAGATTTCGTCTCCTTTCTTACATTTCGCTCAATTCTCTCCCCTTTACAATAATCGATGAAGGTATTGTAAACTAGGAAGGCGTTATTTGCGTTCGTGGTGATATTGTGAAGGTGAGTTATTAAATCTCATTTTGTGTCATCGACTGAACCATTTCTACTGTGTTTTGAAGAGTGTTGTTTTTCTTCTTTGTATAAAGAGTCGCTCCTAGGGCTAGTTACCATCTATATGCTCATCTAGGTATTTTACTCCGTCATATGTGAAGTTTTTCAAAATTATAGAAAACCTTTTTTTCGAAGAATGAGAATGAATAATCAAGTGTAGTATACTGCGAGAGAGAGAGAGAGAAAATTATGATTGAGTTCTTTTCTCTTTTGGCTCTAATGTTTAGAAAGCTCCATAACCTCATTTGTATTCCTAGTTTTATGGACCGGCTGTGGCTTTCCCAAAATTCACCCTTACATGAAGCAAAACAGTACAAGAGGAGTGGTCTCCCTTTCACACGCAATCTGGCGCAACTCAACCTGCTGTAGGGGACGACGACAAGGGCGCGCAACGATGACCGAGGGCGACGGTCTGTGACTCGACGGCGAGCGGTTCAAAGGAAGGCCAATGCGGGGTAGTAGAAGAACAAGGGTGGAACCCTACTCCCCGAACCAGTGAGTTTTCTTCATTCTCGCACACTAAACCACTGTTTAAAAAATATTTCCTTTAATCTCGCCGTTGCAAAATCGTGAGTTCAACGATTTTAGCCCACCGAGTTTATATCAAAATCGAGTTTGGTTCTGAGTTGACTCGGAAGGTAGAACGTAAGTAGAGTTTGACCAGTTTAATTGAAGTTTGCTAATTTCTGAAATAGCTCATCTGAGTAGCAGCAATTTATTTTGCAGAGTAACATTCTAACTTTATTTTAGCTTATAGATGTTTTGTTAGTGTACTATAAAGATCAATCTTCAATTTCAACAAGGTTAGTATTATTGTCTATGAGATGAAATACAATGGATAGATACATTGTATGCCAAGTTTACTACTAATCTAAAAGCTACTAAAGATGACAACTAACAAAAACTGGGCAAATAACACATGCTGAACATTTTCTAGACCATACAAAGAAGGTAGTAACATTAGAAACTTTCTTTTGAAATTTGGGAAGGGTTATGAGTAAAGCAAGTAGATGAGACAGCTACTTTAACCTGTTATCTCCCTCCCATTCTTACTAAATGTATATGATTTTTTTGGCTGACTTGGAGTCATATGATTGAACAATGCAGCCTAAGCTTGTGGCAGTTTCCAATTTCATATCATTTGTCAATCCTAAGGTGCCTCTATATCCATGACTTGCTCAGGGGAAGTCTTGGGATGAAGTAAGTTTATCTTTTATATGATTTCTCCTATTATGGCTTTGCTTTCAATATCCTAACGCAACATGTATATATTTAATAGATTTTGAGCACAACACTCGAATAATGAATGATCTAATTAAAATTGGTAATTTGACATGATATTATGGAAATAGGGATTGATGTTAGTTTCTTTTCTTTCGCACTCTCGAAACACTATTACGACTACGAAGTGATTTCATAATTATTTGGCCAGACACTCGAAGTTTATTTGCACTGATCTTCTGCATTGCACTTTGCTGATACGCCAGACAACCATTGCAATTATCAATATGACAGTAAGTTCATTTCTCATCTTCGGCTCCTAATTTTATATCCATGTTTGTCCCCCTTAGGATTTTGGTGTTTATTTTCTGTGTTTGTGTTAAATAATCTAACACTATTATAGGATACATTATTTGTACAGTTCTGAAAAATCATCAATTGCTAATAGTGCAGAATCTCATAAATCAGATTCGCTTTTGGGATTATGAAATTTATAGATTAGAAATCTGGTGATGGGGTGATGGGGTGATGGGGTGATGTGGGATAGTTTTGATCAGTTGTCTGAAAATTCAGGGGATTGCAAGGATCAGGATGGTGAGAAGGGAAGATTTGTTGTGGGAGCGATTAAGAATTACACAGACCAGCTCCTGGACTATGGAAAAGACACTCAATGTAAACCATTGCTATGAGCTTACAACCTCTATTTTTTCCCAATTTTTTTATTTATATCTTATTCTCTCACTGACCAAATTCTTATTGAATTGGTGAAATCATAATATCAGATAACCTCACACAAGCTCTTCTATTCCTCTCTCATTTTATGGAAGATGTACATCAGGTGAGCATGATAAAGCACGAAAATCACCATATACTAAGCTAGCATCTGACTTCCAATTTAGTTATTGTAATGGTTCTTTTGCATGGTGAATCTGCAACCTCTACATGTGGGATTTACCTCTGACAAAGGAGGCAATTTAATTAACATTCACTGGTATAGAAGGAAGCAAAATCTTCACCATTTAAGTCTAATTCTCAGGTTCATTCACTACTACTGTATGATCTATTTCACCATCTACTCTACTCACCAATTTTTTGCTACACAGGTTTGGGATTTCAACATAATTGAAACAGTCTAAGAAAGATTTTATGACTTAGACATAAATAGCTTCACCAAAGCCATTCAATAGAATATAACTTTATTTTATCCCAATGTATGATACTTCTTATCAAAGATTGATGCTTACTCCAAATTCTCTTAAACAGAAAACATGGTCTGATCAAGTACGCGGATGGGAAACCTGCAATTCTAAGGAAACTACTTGCCCAGATATGTATGCCTTTAGATCTATCCCAAAGCTAATTTATTTTCTCACTCGATAATGTATATATACATTTCATTCTAATCTTCACTACACTTTTTCATAATTTTTAATCAAATTATATACTTACTAATTCTTTATAATTTTTATGTGTAAGATCTGTCAGAACCATTAAAACCCACTAATAAACCCCATTTGAGTGGACGCCAAGTGTAAGCGAACGGAGCGTCTGAAGTTCAGGAAGTGGAAGACAGGTGTGTGATGCAGATTGGACGTTCGGTTTTGACGGTAGGAGTAAAACTGAAACTTTCAAATTTTCGTGCCACTTCTCTGCATGCACCATCCCTCTTCAACCTTCTGAAATCTCCTCCTTCTCTCTAGATTTCTTCATCTTCTCTCTAAGGAATTCTCACCTTTTCTTCCTCCGATCACCATTCAGGCACCGCTTCTACTCTTCCGGTGTCAAGAGCTTTCGATCGAACCGATCGGTTTGTGAAACTGAGCTGGTAAGTTCTTCTCATCACTTAGCCGTGCGGTTTTTTGGACATGCAAACCAAGTTCTGGTTTCATGTGTTGATCACTCGTCTAAAATTAGTAGTTCTGATTGTGTTTTGGTTTTACATGGTTTAGTTTTGGAGAATTGTTGAGCGTTGAGGGTAGAAGGATTTGTAGAGGTGAATCAGTAATCCCACCTGAAAACGTTCGGTCATGTTGGAGGTAAGGGAAGCTTATATAATTTGATTTTATTTCTCGTTTTTGAATGCTGGCATGCTCGTTTGATTGATGAATTAATATGAAATATGATTGTTGCTATGTTTTGACTGTATGAAGTAAGAAAATTTACTATGTTATGGATGTATGAAATTATGAAGATAGATGTTGAGAAATGAATTGAGATAAATAATTATAAGTATGAAATTCCATATGAAAATGTATGTTTGTCACTGAATGGTTATTGACCGTTCGGTTTTTCTTGTGGACTCGGTTGGAACTGGATTCTTTCATTTGGATGGAATTGTAGTTGAGAACCGAGCGTCTTCGTTAGTATTATTTATATATAAGCGTTCAACCAAGGATATTCGTTCCTTGGTATTATGTTATAAATTTAAGTATATTAATATGAAATTGTATAATTAGTTCGTTCTTGAACGTTAGTTAAATGATATCTTATATTTATCAAGCCTTTATTCTATAAATTAAGTTGTGCTCGGTCTTACACCAAGCGCTCGTACGATTTATTGCTAGGTCTTTCACCAAGCGCTCGTACGATTTAGTGCTAGGTCTTACACCAAGCGCTCGTTCTCTTCTCCGTAATCTATCTTGATAATAACAGCGTTCGTCCAAATTCAATAGTGTTCACTCTCTACCGTGCTCGGTCTTCGACTGGCATTCTGTTTTTCTTGATGATAAATTCATAAATAATCTAAGTATTTATAGCGTTCGGTTTCTTCCTATGATTCTTTTAAGTACTATCTTTTGAATGTCTTGCAGTGTTAGTATCCATTGATTGCGGCCTAGAGTCTTAGTACTCGGCCTAGGCTTTACGGTGTTCGGTCTAAATGTTCATGAGTCAGTTCATTAAATTTTCCTCTAAACGAGAAATGAAAGAAGAGGGAGTGAGCGGATGGAATGAAGGGAGAAACTAGGGTTCAGGTGAAATGAAGGGAGAAATTGTCAGAAGATTTTTAGAGGAAAATTAACTTTTAGAAAAATAATGGCTTTAGGCAGGGATGAGTTTTAGATCTGGAGGGAATAAAATTTTAAAATTGCTAAAATGAAACTTAGTCTAAAATTTTTAGAGGGAAAAATGTAAAAGAATTAGAATATGATGAATAAAAATATATTTTTATTTGAATAGGTTATAAATCTTTCTTGAAAGGAATTAAAACCCCCACAAATATTGTCAGTTAGATAATTTAAATTAAACATCTTAAAGTATGTTAATTTGAGGGGGTTTTTTATAACCTCCCCAAAATAACCCCCTCTAAATAAGGTTTTTTTTGTAGTGATAACACTCTTGTAATCGGTCTCTTCCCAACCACGATAGTAACTCCCTCTCTCGGTTTTGATCTGTTCTGGAACTGGAAACCTCTCGGTCTCAGTCCAAGTGTTCGGTCTCGTTAGGGGTTGAAGATTTAGGTTATGTATTTTGTATCCTAAGGGATCTTTGTTCAAATTGAAGTTTGAAAATGAAATATGATGGAATATGATGTAGATGAAATGAGTATGATTATGAACGAGTATTCCGGGGAGGAATATCTCATGAATGGATATTGAAATTTTGGTAAAGTATGAATGTGGGCATGCTAAGCTGGCGGTTCATCCTGATATTCTGTGATTACTCGTTCTCACGTAGAGAAGGGTAAGTCATGTGTGGGAATGACAGGAGGTCCTAGTCCTTATGGTTAATTTGGACAGATAGGATTAACCTCGGGTGGTAGTTGTTGAGGGTATCCCAGTTACTACATCACCCGGGTGCACGAACGTCGTAGCTACGCAGAATTCATACAGTCCAGACAGTCAGAGTCTAGTATTAGGCTTTGCATGAAAGAGTTAATGAATTATCTTGTTTGGTTGATTGTGTGAAATATATGATGATACATGAATTGAATTACATAAGCTTACCCTATGTTTCCTGTCTTGTCTGTTTTGTACATTCGGTTGTCTTTCTATTGCAATGATCGTCCATGTGGATGTGAGCAGAAGGAGACGAGCTGCTGGAAGAAGCGCTGGAAGAAGAAAATTTAGTCAAGGTAGAAGTTAAGACCGAACATTAGAACCGTTCGGTCAGTATTTTAGTTTAGTTGTAAAATGATCGTTCTATCATCTTTTCCTTTTCTTTTGTAGGATCGTTCGGTATAGGTCTTTTGTAAACCGTTCGGTCAGGATTGCATTTTTTTACAGTTTTAACTTTCTTGTCATTATGTAAAGTCGTTCGACCATAAGTGTACGTTATCTATTTTTTGAAGACTGATCTGTAGTATTATTAAAATGTGATTATTCTATTATATAGTTTTATACTATGTTTTTGGGATGTTACAAGATCTCTAGGACTCTGGGGATATTGGTATTCAAAAAGGGCAAATTTGTACAATTGGGCATTGACACATGCAATATAATTAAACAAACTAAGAAGTATCAGCATAAATCTAAGCAGGGAAGAACAACAGCATCTGATGTCACAATTGGAACTACCTCTAAAGATGGTCAGATCTGGTATCTCTCCCTAGACAAAGATACAGGTACTAAATGCATGACCTTGAAATATGCACTTTGTTCAACCTGCATTGTATACTACGATTTGATGAGAAGAATTCGAACTGTTAGCATCAAATGTGCAAATTTTTCTTTTTCGATTTGTTATCCAACTCATAGCTTATGCAAGGTATATCAACTCAAAAACCAGTCTATTTGAAACTCATGGCCAAGTAATAGTTTTAGATTTGAAAATGCTTTATGAATATTTATATTTGTTAGTGGTTGCTATAATAAGATGGAATGTTGATGTTGCTGTGATTGTGTATATTTCATTTTGTGGTCATTTTTATATTTGGGGTGTAAATGATCTAAACTGCATCTGAATAAATTGTTAAACTTTTTATATTATGTTTAGTGTATCCCTAACTTTCTTTTATTTCTGTATAGTTTCCATGTTTATAGTTCCTTTTCTCAATATTTTTATCATGTTTTTCAGACATAATTATTACAGCACATCATGATTTGGAACACTGTCGTTGTTATTGTTTGGTTGTAAATTGACTTAGGAGATGCTTTTTATCCTTACTTTTGCTTAATTAAATCATTGAAGCTTCTAATGTCTAAGATCCTGATTCGGATTAACTTTTAGCTTATAATTGGAAATTTCCATTGAGGTTTCATATATTCTATCTGATCTTTGGCTACTGAATTTTCAAGCTTTGTCAAAATCCTTTGCAAGTCGATCACTATCCCCAAGTGAAAAAAATAACCAAACCCTTTCTCCTTGACAAGCTTTCTCAATCTAGATGTTAATGTAAACTGAGTGGCCTTTGGTAAACAAACTCCAATAGTATTTTTTAGTGTTTTGCATTTGTCTTTTTTCTCCTTCATGTGCGCTAATTGTCTTTATCCAAGTAAAAGTAACCTACAAGTTGACATTCAGAGAAATTAATAACCCAGACAACATTGAAGTTGGTGCTAAACCTCATGAGGTGAAGGAAAAATTACCAGTCAAAAGATCAAAGGAAAGTGCTAGTGGCGGTAGTTTGAATATGTGGATTTCACAAAACTCCACAAATACTGGCGGTTTTTACAAAACTGCCAGAAAAAATTTGTCGACGGTACTTTTCCCAACGATATTTCCAACCGCGGAAAATACATTTTCTAGAGGTTAAAACCGTCGAAAATGTAAAAAGAAAAACCCTTGGTAAAATTCTAGATTTTTGTAGTGTAGATAGAAGATTTAGAGTTTAATGAGTATGAATACTTACTATATGATATAAAAATAACAACTTAATTAATTAACCAAAGGTCAGTTAATTTGGAGCAAAAGTACAAATTTTGTATATACATTGATGTTAATATATTAAAAAATTAATATATTTAAAATACTGACTTAAGTATAGATAAGTATTGAATGTGATATAGGCTCTCATAAATCTTAATATCATCAAATTGACAATTTCACTATATTTTTAATATTATAAGTAATTATTAATATACTTGTCCAACGTAATCATTTTCAGTAATAGACTAATTTTTTATTAATTTATATTGATGTTATTTACTTAATTATGTTTGTAAATTTTTGTTTAATTTATATTCATAATTTATATTAATTTGTATTTATCTATTTAATTAATTTATTTTTATTTAATTTATTTATGATTATGTTACCACCTTTTATTATTAA